CCAGCGAAGGGTATCTAGCCGGCCACCTGGGCGCGTGTTAATGCCCGTTGAGTGCTTCTGCGGCTCACCTCTTCCTCTCTCAACGAATGAATAAACAGAAAACTAGTGAAGTTTTGCTGACAGTCGGCGGTCTAAACGCGTGTGCTTTCCGCCGTTTTAATCAAAATGTTCGGCGGCAGTGACTGGGTGATCGGTCGGTGGCATTTCGATGATGTGACGAAACGACATTGCGTCCCATAAGATAAAGTTGATATTTGAACGGGATAATGCGCGGAAGGACGATTACATGGGTGGGAGTATGGTGGATGAATAGTAGATGCCATGATGCTAATTCCACCGCGACAATGGTGGCACTTGTGGTGACAGCGTACTGCATTATATTTTTTTCTCGAAATATCGACATTCCCAGCTTGATTATTGATTGCTGGCACAACTGTACATCACACAGGGTCATGTTGGCTGTGCCAATTGCAGACGGGATGTTGTTCGGCGCTGAGAAGTTGGATTCACACATCCACCAACTTCGGCTGCCGTGATGTAAAAAAACTTGGTCAAAATGGTTAAAAAGGGTAAATGCATCTTGACCTCTGCTGTACTCGTGACACGCGACACTTGCATTCTCATACCCGACGTCACGCGATTTCCCGTTCAATTGTCTATCAAACTATGTCAATTTCGCGTCGCTCCTTCTCGTGGTCGCCGAGGTGCAGTCAGGGTTTCCTTCCTTCGGGTCCCGCCGGTTGTTTTCCGGGCCGCTCTTGCGCAGCCGAAGAGCTAAAAAGGCAATCTGCAACATGCGCCACACGTCACCTTTTGATGCATCGGCTCAAAACGTGCCATGACGCGTCGCTTCGTGCGTACGTGCACCGTGTTTTCTGTGTAAAATTTCACTGAGAAGTGAGTCACCGTTCGACCCGACGACAAACAGACAGACAGACATACGCTATTTTGTACGTCCTGCGGTCGTATTACGATACCAAAAAGTACTAGTGCCCCCTAGGGACCCCACTGCCTTCAGGGGAGCCATGATCCCTTCTTCCACCTTCTTTGGCTACGCCATTGTCCAAAGTGTAGCATGTATGTAGCCATCACGCAAAACCGCTTAGAAATCATTGTCAACACGTTGGAGAAAGGTTTGGGTTCAAATTATGCGGATTTACCGCCAGCAGTTAAATTTGATGCATGTCTACATATGTATGCTGCCTTCTAGTCAGCATAACTGCTGTGGCTTTTGTCCTTTGCAGCCTGGGTAAACATAAACACTACGTTACCCGCAGCCCACAGGCAGCCCACTCCCCACGGATCTCGCGAGATGAGCCCACGAGCCGCCGTCCGCGGCTGGCGCGCGTGAGCTGGCTGTTGACAGCCACTGGTTCAGACTGGCTATCGGCAGCCACTGATGCCAAGGCCGCATGCGCATTGCAGCCTTGGGGTCACCGTGACCTCCCCCTCGCTGAATTGATGTCATGTATTACCTAATATGTACGTGCCTGAATGTTCACTGCTAAAATTCAAAGGTATGCACCTACAATTAAGATGATCAAGAACATTTGATGCACTTTTATTAATTTCAAAGTAATTTTTCTATCAGTGTTCCACCCCCCCCCCCCCCGCCCCCACTGTGAAATCCCGCAAAAGTCCCTGCTGGGGTATGCTGCCTGTCACCAACCTCCGACGCAGAATGGCTGTCAGCACCCGGCGACGCCCCAATGACCATTTTCAGCCACAGCCTCCACCCACAGCCACTGGCATTGACCGGCTGTACGCAGCCAGTAACATCGACTGGCTGCTTCATTAGGTCGGCGCATCAGAAAGCAATTCACAGGAATGGCTGTCTTCTTCATCCACCAGGAAGTGGTCGACTCACATTGTACGCCAACAATGCCGACGGATTGAAACCTAAACGGATTCTAGCCTCAGGGATAAGGCTTGTTTTGAAAGTTGCTTGGAAACTATTGAGCCAACCGTGTCGGGGGCCGAGTGTTTTCCCGAACAGTTTTCTTCAGAAGTGTACTTTCTCGGCCTCCTAAATTCCTGAGAGATGTTAGATTGGGCACAGATGTATAAGGCTGAGCTCGCTCGGGGACTGGTTCCGGGTTAATTATCCAACCGCTCAAACAATCTGCCGCGTGTGCAGAACTCCAGTGTTTGCCGAGGAGAGGCGCCTCCATATGCTCCAGAGCGAGACATAGGTAGTAGGCTGCCCAATTTTTCGCAGAGTTGAATGAGGAACTGGTTTCAGACTGCGATTGTAAAGCTTTGAGAACTGTACATGTGCAGGACGAGGTAGTCGGCAGTAGAAGTAATTATTGGGATGGGATAACAAAGACTTTGTTGTGCCCGCTTCACTTGTTTTGCAGTCTATCACGCATTTAAAAGATGTTCGCACGAAGCGCGTTGTTTTATGCCGCCTGAGCAAATGTGCTGCCAGCGTGGGCAGCGTTCAACCAAGCTAAGCCAACGCCGATGAAAATGCATCACATATGCCCTGATTGCGCAGGGGCGGGCCTGGCCGTCATCACCTGGCCGGAACCTTTCCACGGGGCGAGGTCGTCCACGTCTTTCAGAACCAGCGCCGCGCCCGCCCGTCCGGGGTAACATTTCAGAGCGCCTCGCCAATGACTTCTTTAAAGTTGCATCGTAATTGGCCGGCAGGCCAGGCGCCGGGTCTTTTTCGGAAAATTACCATGACTGAACAGCGGCACTCGCCATTTGCTAGATTTCTCAACAGGGTAGCGACCCGTTTACCGCCGTAACGGCCGATGTAACGGCGCCATTAATTCCGTCGTTAGGGCTGAGTGCTGCGGGATGGCGTTGCCGTTTCATTTCGACGCTGTCGGACACCGCATGGCAGGGCCGTTCATGTTGCAGACATTGCCACAGCCTGATACGGCGGGCGGGACGCGGTCAGCCACTCAGGTCACCAGACCAGCTAATTCCGTGCTGGCCGGGTCGTTCGAGTTAACGCTTTGTCTGCTGGTGTTGTATGCTGTAGACATCCTGGACCAGAGCCCCGTGGATGCTACATTCTTATGCACATAATGGCAGCGTCGCCATGGATTTGCGTCGTTGGTCCAATATAAAAGTTTACAAGTGCTTATGTCCACTATTATTTATTTATTATGTCACCATCACGGCAGGAAGCCACGTATAATGTCATACGGTTTTTCAGCCGTTGCGAGCGAAGAAAAACTGTCGCTGTCGTGCATGATGACCTTAACATCTGCATAGGAAGGGATCTAATCAAAAAACGCTTAAATAATTGCACACCATCATTTGGAAAATTGCACAATCTGATTCAAACCTTTCCACAATCTTGACAAAACGCTTTCATGCCAACTGTGGTCACTGTAGATACAGTGATTGGCAACCGCAAACATTTCTTGATTCTGATTTGGAACTCATTGATTATTTTCAACGGCCACTATAACACCCTTAACATTGAGCCTGAGTACCCAATGTTTTAGAACCTTGCTTCGAGTTGGATGGCTTAATATATGATGGCTTAATGGGTGTAACGTTAAGGGCGAGGATGTTGGTCAAGGATAACATTCATTTCATAAAAGAACGTAATCAAAGATTAATTTTTGGATATGATGCAAGTACACAAAATTTGTGCAAAAAGAAGATCACCAAGAATGGAAGTCCATTGACAATAGAACGCACGCAAAACTTCGCATGCGTGCGCGTGCTGAATGTTGCAATGCATATATTTATTCTTGTCTCAGGCGTGGAATGAATGGGCACTGCTGGGCCAACACATCCCGTCGACTGGGAGAGGACGGAGCAGGGGATGATGATGGACGGGTGACAAATGCAACATTACAATTATGCTGGCTAGTCCGGGTTACGCCAACACCAGTCTTTTAGGTTTTGTTTATGCTAACAGCTTTGAGCTGCCAGTTTCAAGCTAACCCCTGTGACGCAAGGATAAACGCCTCGAAGCCAACTGACTGCCCGGTGAAGGACTTTGAACACTTGCACCAGTTTTGCTTTCGAGGGCCTGTTATGACCATGCTGCCCCCAACCAGCTTCCGGGCTAGAATCTAGGAAACGGCTGTTCAAACCCCGAAAACAGCGCGCTGTTTAGAAGATGATAATATTATAATCAACTGCAACCTGAGTGGCAAAACCGGCATGGGCGGCCATGTCGCAGCATTGAAAAGCACGAAAAAGGCACAATCCGATGTTAAGTGAAAAGGCTGCGGGCAAAACCTTACCCGTTGACCTAGAACTACATAAACTGTAGTGCCGCGGCCAAAAATCACGACATCCCAGAAACTAGCAGCAAGCTCTGCTTTGCACGCACTATCCAGTCATTCATGTAATTTAATTAGGCACACTTTCCGCAAAGCACACGATCTGGAACGCAAAACGTGAAAAGGGTGTACTCTGCACTTAAAAACAAAGTGATTAGGTCATATGCAGTCAATTTAAAGATGGCAATATCCTCATTTCGATTGCTGCAAAAGTCAGTTTGTCTCAGTCATTCCCAACCAGCTTCCGTAGGAAAGGTAAACTGTGGAGGCGTAGACGTATATCTATCTATCTATCTATCTATCTATCTATCTATCTATCTATCTATCTATATATATATATATATAATATAGAATATATATAGATAGATATATATATATATATATATAGACGAACACACACTCGCGCGCGGGTGTGTGTGTGAGAGGGGTGTGGGTGGTGGGTGTGAGTGTGGATGTGTGGGTGTGGGTGTGGGTGTGGGTGTGGGTGTGGGTGGGTGTGGGGGTGTGCGTGTAAACCCTCCCAAGTGGGGACCTTAGTCCGATACACTTACGCAACGTGAAGGACCCTTTGCGAAGTGGGGACCAAAAATCGGTCCGCATTGCAGACCTTTGGAAGGTGCTCATTTCCTCCTGATATTGGTATGGCATAAATTCCTAAGAGGTTCTGACATGACAGGCTTTATCCGTCAAGTGTATTTTTGTGGTCACGTGAATTAGCACAAATCAATTTATCATCCAAGTCAAGTCAATTAAGTCAATGTCCCCAAATCCGCCAGAGTGGTTTCTCGCCTTTCGACCGATGGGATAATTTTCGAATAGATATGTGCTGATCATGTTGTCGCCTTTAATGCGACATGTAGTGTACGTTTCACGCAATAAAATACATTGAAATGGGTAAATAATCAAATATGTTGATTTTCCTGTGCCTTTAGATGTTTGATAATAACACATTGACAATGACGTAGTCTGGCCGGGTACATGTGCGGTACCCATCACGATTGACTGTTGAGGAGCTTTGGTTTAGGCAAACTGGCCGCGAGGCAGAATGCCGTGAAATTGGGACAGGGAAATCATTGTGTGGTGCTCCTGTCAGCTGTTACGATATGGTGAGTACTGCTTACTGCATGATGCCCTGTAGTGGAAGCTGTGTTTTTTAGGTGCGTGAGGTTGCTTGTTCTCAGGTGCGCAGCAGCATCTCTATTATCTGGGAAGGGGGGAGCTAGAACCCTCAGGGGAATAGTAAACGTGAACCCTGATGTTGAGTAGTGATGGCAAGAAAACCTTAAAATCATTCAGCCAGCAGGTCACCACATGAAAGGTGAGCAGCCATGCTTTTTGGAAATTGTGCGGTTACTGCATGAGAATATATCAGGGGCAATGCAAATTCTTCCAACTTGATGGCAGTATGGCAGCCTTAGCGCTGAAACATCTAGATATCGGGGGGGGGGGGGAGGGGGCAAACCGTGCTCTTCATCTATCTGCTCTCATGCTCCCCTGATTGGAGGTGCACTTTTTCTTACCTCATCTGCTCTAGTTTTTAGGTGTGTGAAGCTGCTCGTACTCGGGGTGCATCCTTATCAGGGGCAGTGCAAATTTGTCCAGCTTGATGGCGGTGTAGCAGCATTCGTGTTGAAACCTCTGCTGATATCGAAGGAGGGGTGAGCATGCTTTTTACCTTATCTGCTCCCATGCACGCCTGAGTGGGGGGTGCACCTTTTCTCACCTTATCTGCATGCATTGAGTGAGGACGTAGCTGCACAAAAAGAGTGGGGGTGGGGATGGGGTGGGGGGGGTGGGGGTAGGGATTGCTAAAACCTGTGAAATAATGAAGCTGTATGCAAAGGTCACTAACAAACAGCTTTCTCCCTGAATTTGGCCCACTTTTCTGTCAACGTTGGGGAGCTATAGCCTAAGTTCGGGGGGGGGGGGGGCTAGAAACCCGAGAGGAATGGGAAACATGAGCCCTGATATTGATTAGTGGTGGCAGGAAACCTTAAAATCATTCAGCCAGCAGTTCACCACGTAAGAGGTGAACGGCCATGCTTTATTTAATTTGTGTAATTTCTGCGTGCTGCATAAGTATGCAATGAACGCTATATGCAGCAGCATTACCATGAAAGCATAGTGTTCAGCAGGCTGAT